GATAGTAGAGGCAATAGCTAAAAAATAGTAAAATATCTTGGAAACAAGGATCTTGTACAATATCGACAAATATAAACAACGTTCGGTTTTCGACTTTTCGATTCAAACATTCAATAATGAAGATTCGCATTAGTCGCCGTTTGTCAAGAAGCATTTCTAATATTAAATACGTCGAAATCAAATTCTATTTCGATTGGTCCAAGAAAAAAAAAACTAATAAAAAAAAAGGAACACGCGAGCGTTTGCTCTACAAACTGCGAATAACTCTCGCGTACTACGTAAAGTATTTGTTTTTCAGTTTTATAGGCACTTTATTTATTATATTATATGCTCTAATGTATTAACTCTGTTATTATTTTAACCACAAATATTCATATGCTATTTAACTTTATAGTTTATTTACAGTAAAATCAACATTTCTATGATTATATTAACAATAATTGGTTGCCGGTTGTCAAAATATTGGATGTTAAAATAACTGAACAAGGAATTGTTCAATTATTAATGAATATAAATTTAAAGTTACATCAAAAAAACTTAATTTAATCGTTCATATACTCAGAATAATATTTTTTCTTTCAATTTAAATATAGAATAAGGTTATTAATGAATATACGTAATGAGTGTTATAACTAGACGTAGTGTACGACTCAACATTCAATACAACACTCCAATGTCCTTATTTAATATACAAATTACAGTTAATTTTACATTTAGCTACAATTGATTGAAACTGAATTCAACTCCAATTTTTCTATGTATACCTACCACATATGTCGTAAATACTGGTTTTGCAGCCGTTTCTCGACGTCCATTGTAGTTGGCCAAACGTCGTTTCCGCGACGATAACGCCAATCGTTTATTTTCTCTATAGAAAATTAACAAAATAATATTTCCCAATTTGTAGTGTATCAAACGTATAATGGAACTAAGGGAATAATGTTTATACGTGCCTGAAAACGACGACCCTTCGGCTCCTTTACGACGTCGGATTCTCGCAAACGGGATGAGGTTATTTTATTGTTACCTAATCTTGTTGCCTTTGTGTTTGAACAGTTTTAGTCGGAAATGCGCTGAAATGCTCTATTTCGGCGAACGACCAATTTAAAGTTCAGCAAAGGACCAAACGGTTATTTCTCGAGCAAACGGTGAGCATATAAATTGTTCGAAAATTCTAGTTCCGAGACCTGGCGGTTAAGGTTAACAAAAATGAAGGCTTAAGTTTGATTGGACTCAAATAATTCGGACATGATAATAATATTATTATATCATACACGAGTATAATGCCTACCTACGCGACATATTTTTTTTTTTTTTTATTTGTATAAACGCCAAACGGCTTTTTACATATAGCAATAACGATATAACATAAATTAACGTTAGTGATAAGAATAAAATACATAAATGATAATGTTAAACAATATACTAAGAAATAAGAATAATAATAATTATAATAGGACAATTACACACATTGGGTGAATACGAAATTTAAGGCCATATATCAAAATTATTATTATTTAAATTGCGCATAGCTCTAACCAAAGGATCATTAGATAAAAAGTTTGAACGGGAAGTTGGGATGTGAAAGGAATCGGTTGATCTGGTATTGGCGGTAGGAACTCTAAAGCTAATACGCTCAAGGAGACGTGGAGCATCAATTTTAATATTATAATATTATTGTTCGCATACTGTCACGCTGCTCCACAAATTTACTGCATAGGGTGGGTATAGCTGAAATAATCTGTATGGCTATACGTAACCTGGTTACCGGTTGCTATACAGTCATTTCACTCATATTATCTAACGTATACCTACCATATATTTTTTTATTGTCATATTATCTGGCAACAGTCCTGCGTAATACAGTGATATTTCGCTGTTATCGTCAGACTAATAATTTTTGGACTGCGTGCAAAATAACATCATGTAGGTCGCGTGAAGATAAACGAATTTTGTCGAGACAATCTCGCTGAAATAAATATACTTTCGTCACTGTACGCGCGTGTATCGCAAGCATTTGTTATTTAAATAAAAGGATTTGTACTATATAATATATTTTGTTTCGTCGGATCGCCTATATTATACACAGGTAGTGTATATATAGGCAGGTACGTAATATAGTTTATGCGTTTTTAAATTAAACCGAGTACGTTTCTCTAGCGATTTGCATATTTCGAACATAATTTGTTTTTAAACAAAATTTAGATTCTAAACAAGTTAGACAACAATTTAACATTGCATTATTCATTCGATTTTTTTCGATAAATTACCGTACACACGACTGTAATAGAATAGTAATTCGATAATTTCAATCAAAATATTTAAATTATCGAGTAGGTATAAATATTTTTAAATTATTGCATTCTCGGCGGTGTTCCTTGTATATACTTCTTTGGCTCGCCGCGCTATTCGACCAATATAATATATATACACAGGTATACCGCCGCATTGGACATCGAATAAGCAGATGGAAGTGATACGATTTGTTTCTATTTCGAACTGTCGGTGTACGCACGCGCGTCACTATATCTCCTCGGCCTTAACGATATAACAATATATAGGTATATATACCTAACCTACGGCACAACCGGGGGGGGGGGGCGGCGGGGCGGCGCTTCTCCAAGAAACTTTGCACTTAACACAGCGGCAGTAAATCCGCCGTTTAAAAATACACCCGAGCAATGTTCAACGAAAAAGGTGTACACGCCGATGACGCCGATGACGACGACGAGGTTCCATTAGCCTAATGGGTCCCGTCACTGACGAAAACATATGTATTATTGTTTAGGGCTCGGCCGCGGTGGGTGGCAGGTGCAGGTGGGTGGCGGGTGCGGGCGGGTGTCGGGTCGTGCGGCAATGCCGGCGGTGGTGCTGCAGCGCCGTGTAAATTGACACATACTCCGGAAAAGTTTCGCGTCCGTCTCGAACGGCGTTTAATAATAAAGTGACGCGAGGAAACTCCGCGAAGCTGCTGCGGGCCGTGTGCGAGCGTGCGGCGGGTGGGCATGTGCGGGGTGGCGTTGTTCCGGATTATTATACAGGTCTTAATCGCCGCGCCGAACGTTCCGTTTTGAGTGCCACCGCATTATTCGATTACCGCCATAAGTTTCTCGACGGTTGTTTACCAGCGCCTCTATACCGGGTACATCTAATAGGAAACCGTTAACCACCCCCTCGCGAGGCTCGGCGACTTCTCGGTGTTTGCAATACGTCAATGCCGTACCGGATTTATAGCGTGGTTCTCCCCCCCCCCTCCCTGACGGCGAGTGATTTGACGGTTAGCCTTGTCGTGTCGTCGTCGTCGATGCCGTGTTGGTTTAGGTCGGGATGACGGCCACGTGGGTCTCGGTGAGACATAATAATATTATTATGAGTGTTAATGTGACTATTCGTTCCATACATGAATTAGATGAGAAATCGGGTTGCCGGTAATAAACGGCATTTAAACAAACCGATGAGACAGGACTTATAAATATATATATATTTTTTTTTTCATTCGTTTGTTAAAAACGATATTACGAACGTATTTTGATAATATCTCAAATAATTTATCGTCCAACAAATTTCGAGTAACATGACGTTATTGCTGTAGTTAGTTATTGTATTATTTATGTTTCGTTTGTATTTTATTTTTATTTTTTGGTTTTATCCGTAAAGACAAAAGTAACAACGAAATAAATTGTGTTTCCTCTTTTTGTGTATCAAAAATGAGAGAATTACAAGACAAACTTATCATGCTCACATTAATAACGCTGCTTTTCCGGGACATAATATAGCACGCTGAAAATTGTTCCAAGACGTATATTTCACTTTTATAATCAGTTTAAAACTTATAATAATGACGATGTAATTAGATGGATACCTTATAAAAGCTTCTCTTTTTTTTTTTAATCTTCGAAATGACTTAATATTTGGTCCTTGTAAAATATAATTTTATTTTAGGAAACTTGGCAAGCACTTTAATATCAATAACATCAAAATAATATGCACATAAATGATTAAAATTAAATAAAATTAACGTATAAATTGCACTATAATTTAACAACGACAACGAATGTTTGTAATAATTATGTATATTACTCGGTGTCATAAATAAAGAGCGTCTTCTATAATAGTGTTAAATACACTTGAAAAAAAAACACTTCACACAGCAGTCGCCTGTTCACCTAAATTACATGGATTTGAATCTTGACACATCAGTTAAAATGTTTCCGGTCATACAGCAGTGTATTAATATTATGTAATGTGCCAAGGAGATTTGCATGATGAGCAAAAGCAAACACAAATTATTATTACACATGCCGATCGCACATTGTATAGTTGTATTGAAATGGGTAGTTACTTTGCGTTTTTTAAGCTTTAAAACAACACTAACTTTTTTTTTTTTTTATTTAATAAAATATTACAATCTGTTTACACACAACACTAAATTAGTGATTACCATACTCGCAGTTTGTGTCAGACAGTTACGATACACCGCGGTGTTTTTTGGTGATTTAAAAATAATTATATATTTTAAAGAAAACAATACTTCTTCCGAACTGTTTGTTCTCGTCCTCAAACGTTTACAACATAAATGTTATTTGAAACATTTAGCTTACGCTTTTAAACGCAGGCAGGTGCCTACCTCATATCATACGCGGTAAATTTTTGAACGAAGATTTATAAGGGTTATTAGTAACGTTCAGACATTATATTATTATTTCGTGGTATTCGGATCAGTAACTGTTATTAAGATTTATATTTTTTGTTCGGAATAATATCTCAAGATCACCCTCGTGCGTTGGTCCTCGGACACACGTCAATTAGTGTATAGCACCGCTCTGCAGTACAGTTACAAATCAACGTTATTAGACACAAGTGTACAGGATACTCGTGCGTACAACGAAAGCAATTTGTCAGTCCTATTTTTATGCTTGAACCATTTGACTAAGTCGAAATAGCTTATTAGACCCAAGAGGATTAATCACATCAAACGAAAAGTAATTGAACGACGACGCGGTGCGCGAGCTCTCACGCTGATATTTTTGTAAATAAATAAATTAAACATTCTGTTTCCATGTGATGTGCGCTTCGTCGTAAGTAGTTGATTTAATTTTTTGTTATTTCCTTCTATTTTTATTTTTCTATTTATTTTTTATTTTTCGTACTTTATTCTAGTGAATTATAGTTGGTGCTCCCAAGCTGAAATACGTTTTGATACCCCACACCGAACACCGTAATTATTTAATTAACTATGACAAGTCAAAATGGCGACAGTAGTCTGCTGCTGCTGCAGCAGGAAGAGGAGGAGGACAAGACAAATGTGCACTTAGATTCTATGAGCGGAAACGATGTGATTCGATTTCGCGATCTACAGCAATGGTACACAGCGAGTAACTGGGATGTAAAAAGAGATTTCCTGGGAAATATATTGGACGTTTGCGGGGACCCGTTGTTTTTGTTTATTTTGCAAAAAATATTCGACAGGGCGTACACCAGGGACATTGCAGCGTGCAATATTACCGAGTGAGTATATATACGTATTACTATAAAATTACGTCATAAATAACATAAAAGTAAAGTAATCACTCACCAACAGCGGAGTGCGTGGAGTGCGTGCATGGTAGATCTATTTGAAGAAAGCTCGACGTTCAGATAATTTTTTGTTTTCATATTATAATTATTTTGTATAGTTTGTCCTCTGACATGCGTCCGGCCAGAGACAACGAGTCTTTATTAGATTTGACCGCATCGGAGCAGACGACGGAAGACCTTTCGAATTGGTTTAACGGATTGTCAAAACATCTCCGGCTAGCAATATTTGTCAGTCCGTTGCTTGATTTCTAAATCACCATATACCTACTATAATATTCTCTATATTTTAGAACTCACGTTATTGGGCGGAATTGGTGTTATAACTGCAACTAGCAATCACCTCAATCATTTGATTAAGTCAAATGGAAATTTACCAAGTTTGCGAAACATGATTGACAAAAATACTGGTACCTAATGGATTTTAAAATACTAAAAATTATTTTTTATTTCAAATATTATTGTCTAAATTTCAAAAAACTATTTGTCTACTCTTAATAAAATATGTGGATTTTTATTTTCTCCCATATTTTGAGTTTGAGTTATGATTTATCATTTATGGGATCCAAAATGACATGATAACATCAGGTAGGTACCTATAATTATTTTGTTTTCAAATTAAACTTATTGTGGATTTTTAAGATCCATTTTTGAGGACAGATAAATCTTTTGAAATTTTAAAATGTTTTGGTCGATCAAATAAAATATGTGTTTCTCATATAATATTTTAATAATTGTCTAATTATCAATGCTTTCAAATCTTAAGTTACCCACTCAACTGGTTATATGATACTTCAAATGTACATTTCCCATAGAAAATGTTTTACAAAGGATAACTTTTAATAGAAGAGGAAATTAAGTCACTTTGAATGTCTAAAAATCATTAATAATGGACTGTTCGAGAAACATTTGTTGGAAATGCAGTGCAACGCATTTAGTTAAATGGAAATGAGCAAAGCGAATAGTTCTATACTGCTTCTATTTACGCAATGAAACTTCAGTTGTAGTTGTATTTTAAACTAATTTGTTGACAATTGAATATTATTTTAAAACTGCAATAATTAAAATATTTTAACAAAATAGTTATTTATAATTCAATAAAGAAATTTTCTTTGGAAAAGTCATCTTTTGTATCAGTATAAAATATACCAAGACATGGGTAGGACTTAACATTATTGTTTTTTATACCGCTCATTTAACGTTGTACTTAGTTTTTGGTATAGTAACAAATAACTTTTATTCAGAGTTGGATAACTATTATATCAGAGATTTTTATTGTGCTGTCTGTTTTAACCTGACCTTTAACCGTCCTAATTCAATAAATTTCCGACATCTTATTATACATAGTACCAAAGTATAAAAAAATATTTTCAGATTACCTGCTTTTGAGTTTCAAATATTAGCTTATCCAAAAAAATTATAATAAATATTAATGTTCTATTACAATAATATGTTGTCTTTTAGGTATCTTATCCATTGTTTGATAGTTACGGGAAATATAAATAATGACAATAGTGAAATTATTATTTTACAACTATTATAACTATTGTCCTACGTCAGGTTAACTTAATTCTATCTAATAAAAATGACGTTAAATGGTTTAGAAATGCAAAATGAAATGTTCACTGTACACGAAGACTTACTGTTGAAGAACAGATTATCAGATTCCAAAAAAATACTATCAAAAACTAATTTAGGTGAGTTTAATATTACAGGTAATAGTCTCCAACATATCTTGTTACGTAGTACATAATATGACACACAACCCTCTCTCATCAGACAAACATAAGGCCAAGATTACTGATGTGGTATATCGGGATTATATGGAACGTACAAACGAATGGAAAAACAAATTGGATTCATTCGAGCAGAAATACCACGCGATTCGTAGAACCACTGAACCCGACAGCGACTTGGTACGTATAGGGAAATCGAGAATAATTGAGTATTAAGTGCACTTATATTGTACTCAGGCCCAAATGCTTCCGGTTTGGCATGTTATTCCAGCTGGCGGGAAATTATTAAGCGATCCTAGTTGTAAAGAAACTAACGCAACCCCGACGTCAACAAACGGGTAAATAAATATTACCTAATGTATTTTTTATTTTGTACTTTTGATGTATCATTATTTCCAATATTATGGTAATCATCAGTTATAATTGTACTGTAACTTGTACGATCGTTCCAATAATCACCTAATTATATCAAGATGACTGATGTAGGTAACTTTATAGGTACGATAAATTAATACAATATTTATAATCTCAACCATACAGTCCATCTGATGTCCACTCACGTAGACTTCAGTTGAATATTAATTTTGACGTATTTTATCTTGACTTCGGTTTTCACTGTAGACTGTGTACCCACTTTACTTTGACGAATATTAAAAATTTTTAAAAAAACGAGGAAAACTAAATTTATGGGCAAGAGGCAAAAATATGAATAATATTAGATTTCGATGCTTTTGATATCACCTATTTGTTTTGCACATAAAAGTTTTATAAAGAACACCGTAGAAGTTTCGTGTAGTCGTGTATACTTGTCGGTGAAAATAAATTAATATTTACAACACCAAAGTAAATTTATAATTAGTTGGTGAAACTGATACCACAAACAAATATTATTTATATTTAATGTAGTCTTTTGTACGTATGTCATTTCAACCAATGACAGGAACCACGTCGAGAGTAACTTGACAGAAAAGTTTCCCGAGACTTAACTCTATTTTTAACAAACCCTTTACTAGTGTTTAATGAGACTGTCACCTACAGGAATGGCGAACATATACCATTGAGTTTAAGTCATACATTGGCTTCTGTAACGGAGTACAAAAAAGCAAGAAACTACATTGACCTGCAAATTGACAGACGTTTAAAAATAGTAATCGTTCAAAATCACATTTTTAAAGTTTAAGCAAAATGAGCAAACCTTAAATCAGCCGCGTATACGCTATGTTGACTACATAGAAATACATTTTCAATTATATTTATTCTTAGTATTATTATTATATTTAAGTACACACATTACAATATTAAATGTAATTATTAGTTATATTTGACTAAGCAAAATTGAGTATTGGCCATTGAACAATGTGCACTGTAATTCATTATTTTTCAAGTGTAGTTAATACTTATTGCATAGTTATGATTTTGATTTATTTCTGATCAAATCTGAGTACAATAATTAAAGTATTTAATATTTTGATCCGATTTTGAATCAAAATAATATGCTGTTTAACATTATAATGGGTACAAAAAAAGTATTTCAATAAAGATAATAAATTGTATTTTTATTTTCTATATAACAATAAAAGTATAAAGATGTTCACATTTATTCTCCTTTGGGTAAAATATGTAAAAATCTAAGTATTATATATTTATTTTCCGAAATTGGTTAGTTGAAACAAATTTTTTACTTTACGGTAAACTAAAACTTAATTTCGAATAATTTTATGATTTGAACATATTTATTCCAAACTTTTTATTTACTATGCCATCGCTATAAATCGATATAAATCTTTAAACTCATCTAAGCAACACACGTCGTTTTCGATTTATTTTATTATCTCTTTCGTATAATACTACAGTCACAATATTGTTATAATGTTAGTAAAATAATTAACTACAGTAAAAATTGTATTATAATAATTTTTGTTTTAATTTTCAGCAGCAGTCAAGGCGTTCAGACAATATAACTGAATTAGGTATAAGAAAGAATTTTTAAGCTATAAAAATATTTTCAAATAATAATTTACAATCTCCGATGGTCTTGTAATCCTATAGACGATTGTGGAAATTTTGATTTTCATGCGATACCATTTTATGAAAATTGTTGTACTGAAAAGGATAATACTACTATTGTATCGAAAAGAGAAGGATCCGAATTTTCGAATAAGGATCAAATTATCGACGATTTATCCATAAAAATCACATAGCCCCGGTGAATACAAGTACCTACCTGTTATTTAATTGATATAAAAATGTACTAAATGTGTTATGTAAAAAAAAAATACATACAACTATTGAAAAGTGAACAATGAGTTGAATTCGTTGCAACATCATAATTGAATCTAATATTAACTACAATATTGATGTACCAAGTTATTTGAGCAGTGGTGTGTCTAGGATCCAACATTTGTAGACTAATTTAGTACATCATATTTTAAATAGATACTTAGCTTTAAACTAAAATGAAAATACACAAAATAGTATCCAAATTATCATAATTGTAAACGATTACCTAAAATTAAATTACAGGATTTTTATAAGCTTTTCATTCACCATTCTTAATATTCCGAAATAGGTTTAAAAAGTTAACTCATCGTTTTGTTTTTTAAAATACAAATTAAATAAAGTTTACAATACAATTATTAGAATTCCAAATAGTTATCAATTACTTACTGCCCATGCAGCAAAATGTATTGGTGGAACACAACACAAAACCATTTTCTTACATAAATCGACCGCGACTTTTAAACCGTTGGTAACATAATATAATACCTAGGTACATAGATTACTGATTAATTTACAATCGTAAGAGTGTAACGGATTACAACGAATAAAAGCGACAAGACGAATTGTGTCCACCGCGTGGGTACTACTCGTCGGTTGACCGTGGTCGGCACGTCAAGTCCATTAAAATAAAATATTGTGGTCAATACTCAATAGCCATAGATGCAAATCTATGATTGCAACTGGCGCCGATTTATTATGTATAATAACATTATACATTTTGTTAAAACCGATCTACGTAGCTCCGGTACCGATTGTATAAAATACGAATTAAAAATGTAATGATACTTTTTATTCTATAGCTGCTCGATGTCTTGACATGTTAATTATTGTCATCATTATTTTAGATCTCAATGCAACGATAGCAGAGCTACCTGGGCACTCCACTGAATTGACAACATTTACTCTTAAGATCTAATAGATGATTATTATAAGATACACAGTACACTGCAGACAACGATTGGAGTGAGCATCGTTACACAATTAATTAACTCCTAATCACTGTAGGTACTATAATAATTAATTAACACGTTTGCTCGAAGATTTCTGTTCTGCCTCGGAACTTTTAGTTTAAACCCGAACCCATTGTTGAAACTTCTCGAGTTTTCAGTTGGAAATCAATTTTCTATTGTTATTCACCACAAATATTTAATTTTATTAATATTGCGAACTCGCCCTTTCGAATATAACAAAATATGTAACCTCCACGTCACGTTTCATTCGAGTGTACAATTTAATATACCGAGAACCACTCTAAATTGAATTTTTCTTTTTTTTTGTTCAAAATGACACTGAGAACAATAATTAAACGTGTAAAAATGTCGAGACTGTTCATTGCGTTTATTATTATTTTTTAGTAATTTTATTTTTCACTACAATCTAATAACGCAGTTGATAAAATTCCAACTACACATTATAATATTAATTTTTTTTTTTTTAATTGAAATCGTGCCAAAATTTGTTAAATCTTAAACGATGATATTTAATAAATTATATGTATTTTTTTTAAGTATCGTAAATAAATTTAATAACGTTTTACACAAAAACCTTAAAGGCGTAGACATACCTACATATTTTGTTTCGCGTGCTGTATAAAAATATATATAAATAATATGGAATATGCGAAATTAATAGACACTATTTATTACATTTTTTACTTTATGTAGGCACCACACGAGCTCGTCGATGACGCTTATAGGATTACAAGATGTTTCCTAGATCTACGGCTACGTTTTATTCGCATTTCGAATAAAGATATAAAAAAAATATATATATATATATTATATGTTATAAATATCCGTTTGACCACGAAACCAGAATATTCCATGGAAAGTATCTCATAATATTATAACACACGTCAAAATAAAATAATGTTAAACCGATGTTTTTTCAGACAACAATAATTATTGCGTTTCGTAGAGATACGCGGTTTACCTGAAGCATATTAATATTTATACCATTATATTTTATAAGTTATTATTATTTATTATTCATAAACGGGTTTGATGCCCAACAATACAATTTAGCGCAAAATACATAGGTAATTTTCAATAGAAAAATTCAACAATAGACTTGAAGATTAAAAAATATATATGTATAATTATTAACAAATACAATTGTGTTGAATGTGTAGTACCTACGGAGTTCTTAATAATTTTTGTTTCAAACCGAATAAAGGAGAATGCTCATTATAGCAGACGTATACCATCCAACCAACTGGGTTAATTTTTATCGTAATATTAGTGTTATGAAGGGGAATGAGAAAAGTGCAACTATTATAATCTAGTGGAACGAACAGGAACTCTTAAAGTTAATTCGGGAAGGATACAATAAGGGACATCAATATGTTCATCTATCGACTTTCGTAACAACACCGAGTTGGCATCACTATCGTCCATCTGCTATAAAGAGATAAGTCTAAGCTGATTTAATACAGAGTTAATAACGCATGCCGAATGTATTTAATTTTTACAATAAAATCGTCAAAATATGATTTTTTTTTTTTTAAAAAATGGTTCTGAACTTCCTCTAAATGCGATGAGTCTATTTCCGTAACAGATCTCTAAAACACAAGCAATACATTTAATAGAGTAGCTTTGACAAATAATGATATTTTTAGATAGATTTGTGATTCGTCTGCCAAACACCCATAAGACATAATATTAATATTGTTACTCATTGGTATAATAATATTCGACTTTACGGTGGGCGACTTGGGAAGTTTGGAGTGTTGGTGGCGATCGGCCAAAATCGGGTGGAAATCGGCGGGTCTTCGAAAAACTTTTATGATATCATTACTATAGTGTTCAAATGCGATTATCACGTCATATTGTATGAATAGCCGGACATCAAAACGGTTTGTATCGATGCCGCCGTTCGACGTTTTATTTATATATTTAAATTTATTTTTTTGCAATCCGAATCATCGCTTTCCCGCGGGACCCGCCCGCTTGGTAGAACAAAAAACAGAACAAAAAAAAAAAAACGAGGAAACCACATTCAATGTACACATACGCGAGCGTGTGTGCACTTTACACATCTATATATATATATATATTTATTAATGTATATGGCTAATGCGTATATACCTATCTGTATAATAGGTACGCGTATATATTAAACACACGAGTACATAGTATAATATCGAAAGAGAGCTGCAACAGAGCGCATGCATTATACGTTTACGCGAATTAATTGCTATATATACGCCAGACATCATTCGGCCGAACAACACAATAATATATAATAATAATAATAATAATAATAATAATAATAATAAATGTATATGCGTACGTGTACGCGATACAACAACGGATCGAACGCGGCGTTTCACCTATTTTGCATATTATATACAGAATTAAAACTAATAAATTATACGCCGCATCGATGTTATAATTATAATGGCATTAATATTACGTGCGCAGCGCTGGGGCAGCCGCTATGTTATGAGCATAAAAATAATAATAACATTATCTATGCCACACGAGATGTGCATTATTATTCCAGTTTTATATACATCCGAGCAGAACCAGAAGATGTCGCGGTCGTCGTCGTCGCAGTGTGAAATATCGCCGCTGCGGGTTCTCACAAATGATATTATAGAATAGTGATGAAAACCGAGATGAAAAATTGAAGGGGAGAAGAAATATGCTTGGGCCTTTTTTATTTGAAAATTTTGTTTTCGTTTTTATTGTTTACCCTTACACGTAGATAATACCTGTTTAATTTGGGCACTGCCAGCTCCTGCTCACGCGCCTCTAGACGTCGCATTTAGACTCAAACGTAATCATTCCGCAAACATATTATTATTGTTATAAAAACGAAAAAAACAATATTGTAATAATATAATACTTATAACTCGTTTAAATTATTCCAAAAGATTTTTCCATTTCATTTAAGCGAACAGGATATTGTGATGGAGATATGATATACCATTGAAATAACAAAGTTATTACCCACATTACGGGTTTAACATGATTCTACTGCATTCTGAGAGACAATGAAAAGAAAGAAAAATAAATAAATAAAATAATATACAAATGTACCAACCATACACGAGCATTAAAATATTGTTAAATGTTTTCCGGGCGTAAATAATAAATATTAATCTCTACACCAGAACCTTTCTGAATCAATGGCTGAAGTTCTACAAAATCATCTTCAGTCGACCTCCGACGTCTTAAAATTCATGACCGCAGTCAAACTCTAATTTGATAAGCCTCTACAAAAAACACGCAATTCAGGAACATTTTTTTATTTTAAATTTTATAATTATATTGTTAATTGTACACCCGCGACAGTCCATGTTGCCGCGGGTCTTTTATAACAAATGTAATCCGTATTACATTAATATACAAGCTTGTGCGCTATATTATTTATTAGTTTACTGTCGGACGACGTCGCATCGTAGTATATATATATATATTATAATATTATTGTTTGATGTGCTCGTGCGAATTATAATATTATATACACGTTATGATAAAGCGCGGTAAGTGTAATACGGCTCGTTATTTTTGTCTTGTCTGTACACGGCCATGACGTGTTCGTGTCGTACCCGTGTAAAATAATATGAAATCTCAAAAAATGGGCGAATAAAATACAACAAACAACTCTGAGTAAACACCAGCGGAGCGTGTCGGAAAACACGCCAAAAAAAAAAAACAACAACTAGATTCTCGGAGGAAATATTATGGAATTGGCGATAAACGTAAGTGCTGTCTAAAAAAAAAGTACGCAACTGCAGTGTGCAACGTGCGTGCGTGTGTCTCGATGAATAAAACATACGTATTAAGTGGGTAGGTAGGTATATATTGATAGGTATATACCAACGTGCCGCTCAAACGTAAATGATCGAATGAAAACTTTGCAGTGCGCCCCGTTCGTCTTGGCTTGTTTTCGGAATAAAACGACAACACATTCCCACCACAGAA